CAAAATGTGACGTATTTCTCTTACCTCACTGCGGAAAGCTAGGATGAGGACGAGGAGCACAATCTCTATGATCAGCAGCTTGATCATGATGACCCCGTACTGCAACAACAGAAACAACAGCGCTATAAATAACTCTTACTACACAGAACGCTATTCCACATTTGTACCCAACCAATTTTGTCATCCACATTTTCAACATCATAAACTTCCCTTTAACTCCACTCCCATGGAACCTATTTGTATAAAATAAACACCATACCTAGAATAAATAGATGATCCTTGCAATAAATAATATACCATTTAATTTAATAATAAACACGAGGGATCTGCTGATGTTTCGTCGATTTTTTTAATGAGATGTATTACGAGTCCAAACGACCCTATGATGAACTATCTTCTGCCACACTAAACAAAAATGTTAAGGACAAGGCACTAAAACAAGACACAGTTTAAGAAATAAAGTTAAGTCAAAAGAGAGGTATAAAACAGAAAGGATACATTCAAGTTTAAGTACAGAAGAAAGAAAGAATCATAGACAGGCTGAATACATAAAGAGGAACAAATATGAGAAAGATAGGGAAAGCTGTAGGCCTATATTTTTTGAAAAAATAAACGGGATAAGAAAGAGAAAACAACGTAGAGCTTGTGTGACTTTCCTGCCACATTCTAAAAAACAGCAACTATCAAAGATTTGGTTCAAGACACTTTTAAAAGAAACCATGCGCCCCCATCTTTCTTTAAGACCACATTTCCCCAATGTCACAGCACCATTTACAAAATAATCAGTTCCCTGTTCCTTAAATAGAACCAATGAACCGTTCAATTGTTAAACAAACACCCAATTGAATCAAAAGTATTAAAAAGACAAACAAAATCACAACACTAATGATGATAACGTTAACACTAACAGTGACAACGACAACAAAAAGAATACAACAACAACAACAACAACAACAACAACAACAACAACAACAACAACAACAGCCATCACTTACTTCGAAACCAGGCCCTGGGAACGTGGAATCAACCCCGACATCACTTTTCCCCACCTGTACGGCATAAGCGGAAGGAGTGACTCCAG